TCATTAGTTTTGTGCTTATTAGTGAGTGTTCCTCTAAAAGATCTTTCCCTTTTTTCCCCGTCACCTCTCTTCCTCCCAGTTCCTCACTAGAGCTCCTTCTGTGTCATTTCAGGTTCGTGGACTTTGTCTCTTCAAATATCATAAGATCTTCAATAGTTTCAGTGCTATTAATATAATGATATGTCATGCTCATTTTATAGTAACATTAAAATTTAAGATGTATAAGACTTATATTTTACTTATGTGAGTTTTTATAAATAATTTATTTGAGAAAATGTGTTCAACGGCATTTAAGAATTGCCTCCCACCTGACTTATATAGTGGGTTTGTTTTTTTATGAAAATTGAAAATAATTGATAGATCTTTTTTAAAAATTCACGATAGATGGATGGCTTTACATATTTAAGTTGGTAAACTTTTTTTTAGATGGGGTGCTAGGTATTGAGCCCAGGGCCCTTATGCATGTTAAATACATGTGCTACCCCTGACCCCTCATTTTGTAAATCCTTAAGCTATTAGTTAATATGCCTTTAAGTCTGGGAAGAACTTTTCTTCTAAAAGTATTTTTGAGGGACTGGAGAGATGGCTCATCTATTAAGAGTACTTCCTGCTCTTCCAAGGGACCTGAGATCAGTCCCAGCATTCATATAGCAATTCACAAGAGTCTGTAACTCCAGTTCCAGGGAATCTGACTTCCTCTCCCACTGCATGCTTGTGGTGTACTTACATACATATAAATGAAATACTCATACACATAAACTATCAACAAATTCTTAGCTGGGCGTGGTGGCGCACACCTTTAATCCCAGCATTTGGGAGGCAGAGGCAGGCGGATCTCCGTGAGTTCGAGGCCAGCCTGGTCTACAGAGTGAGTTCTAGGCAGCTGGAGCTACGGGGAGACCCTGTCTCAAAAAGACCAAAGAAATGAATGAATGAATGAATGAATGGATTGAATAAATAAATAAATAAATTCTTAAAAGACTAACGAGGTAAATTTTCATCTTAAAGGATATATGTAATTTTTCAGATTTTAGAAGGAAATAGTATTAAAATGATGGGGTTCTTTTTCTGATGGTTTTGAGGTTTCATCCCAGGGCTTCATGTATGCTGGGCATGTGCTCTGTCACTGAGCTGTATCCCCATTCTTTTTTTACTTTATATCTTGACACAAGGTCTCACTAAATTGCACAGGCTGACCTAAACTCACTCTGTAGCCCAGACTGGCTTTGAACTTTTGATTCTCCTACCCCAGCTTCCCAAGTGCTTGTTATAGGCATCTGTCACTATGACTTATGGGTTTTTATAAATTCTGTTTAGAGCATATGAGTAGGAATGATTGTGAACATCATTGGGGACCATGTGCTGGGGGAGAGGTGAATATGATTTTGTGTTATAGAAACCTGTTCTAGACTACTTTGCTTTTTGTAATGATTTCTTTTTTTTTTTTTCAGATGGTTTCTGGTTGTAATAATACATGTGTACTGTCTTCTCACAGTTACATATTTTGTTTTAGGGATAAGTAAAAATATGTCATTTTTTAAAAAGTAACTACATTGCTTGGTGGACATTTGAAAAAAAGTATCTTATTTTTGCAGCATTCAACTTCTGCATCCCATTTTTAATACAAATGATCTAATGTTGGATTTTCTTGTCAGTAAACTAAAAGTTAACCAATTCATCTAACAAATACTGTTTTCTCCCTTATTGTAACGAGCACTATTTAATTTTGCTAATCTAGTCCACTGTCCCTGGCATTGCTGCTGCCGTATGCCCAAAGATAATTTTCTGAACTTACTTGCACAGTTATTTGAGTTATAAGAAATGCTACAGTTACTTGCACAGTTACTTGAGTTAAATGAAATGTATGGGTTCCTGTAGAGGATATGTAAATGTATCATAACTTGAAGTTAGAGAAGAGCACTATGTGTAATTAAATTCAGGCCAGATTTGATATGGTTGTATAGATAGTCCTTTTCAGATTTGATGTTTTCACTTGCTGTTACAGGTTGAGCATCTCTACTTTGGAAATATGAAATATGAAATGTTCTGAAACATTTTGAGCACTATCATGACGTCCCAAAAGTTTGGGATTTTGGAATTTGAAATTCTGGATTAGAGATGCTCAACTGATAAAAGTTTATGCAAAAGTTCCCAAATCTAAAATCTAAAGAACGCCTGTGCTTTTCAGGTAAAGGATATACCTGTTTAAGAAACTTCTCCCAAAATAAATTTTACTCAGTTTTCACTGTTATTGAATGAGAAAAATCTTTATTTTTTTCTTCCACATTTGAAAAAAAATTTTAATTCAAGACACATGCAAAATACTTTGTAACTTACCTTTACGTTTGCAACTTTTATAACACCAGAAAAATATATGAGAGTGCAAAGCAAAAGCCACTTACTAAGAAACATTCTGTCAGTTTCATTGGAATAGGATTTGCTGCTATCACAGGAACGTGAAGAGATTCATTGAGAGCTTGATGTAAGTGTAGGGAAGCCATTCATTATATGTGGACTGAAAAATGGCTCCTTGCAGCCTATCACCCATCATAATTGTGGCAGTTGTCATGTGACAAAAACTAATTGTACATGCCTGTTACTAATTTGAATATTAAATGAACTCTGCTAGCCGGGCACAGTGGCCCACTCCTTTAATCCCAGCACTCAGGAGGCAGAGGCAGGTGGATCTCTGAGTTCAAGGCCAGCCTGGTTTACATAGTGAGTTCCAGGACAGCTGGGGCTACAGGGAGACCCTGTCTCAAAAAGACCAAAAAAAAAGAACTCTGCTAGGAACTTATTACATGAACATTATGTATGGCTAAAATACTATAAGTATAAAAAGCCTGGCTGGGCCTGGTGGCGCACGCCTTTAGTCCCAGCACTTGGGAGGCAGAGGCAGGAGGATCTAGGTGAGTTCAAGGCTAGCCTGGTCTACATAGCAAGCTCCAGGCGAGCTGGAGTTACAGGGAGACCCTGTCTCAAAAAAAAAAAAAAAAAAGTATAAAAAGCCTAAGATGTTTATCATCCAGAGTGATGTGTTAATAAAGCATTTCAGCCCTTTGTAAATTTCACTGATGAAAATTTGTTCCTAGTGGTTCTGTAGTGTTTTGGTATATGGTTAAAGTATTTGTGCCAGATTAGATCTACTATATGAAATGCACAAAAACTCAATAAAAATGCAAATTAAAAAAAGATTCTACTCTTGTGTGAGTCATTAGAGTTTAACATTTTCTTAGGACTTTCCTAATACAGGACGTTGGCAGACAGACAATAGAAGTTATCAGGGCTAGCTATAGCCTAAGTAAGTAAGAGCAAACAATGCTGATAGTTCTCATAAATTTACTATGATCTCATTAAACAAATCATGCCACCTCTGACTTGGCTGAGGTAAGTATTTGTTAGGGTGATAAAGCCTGTTGCAGATGTACTTTCTATATTAAAACGTTGTTTTAATAGTGCCAGAATTACCAGAGGTAACACACAGTTGATTAAATTATTAAGTTTCAGTTTAAGCTGGGCCTAGTGGCACAGTTAGGAAGACCAAGTTCAGCTCCTGTTGGAGCAACTTAGTGAGACCCTTTCTCAAAAGAAAAAGAAGGCTGGTGGTGTAGCTCAGTGATAGAGTGCTTGCCTAGTATGAACAAGACATTGGGTTCACTCCCTAGTGCCAAGGGGAGGAAAGCTTCCATATGTTCATCCTCTTGGATAAATGGAACGAGAATGTGCAGAGAGTTTTATAAAATGGAAATGTTTTTATAAAGGCATTAATAATTTTTAATACTTTAAATTTGATACCTGTTTTGTTCCTCATGAAAAAGAGTTCTGTAGGAGATTGCTGTCTATGACTTTTTTTTATAATTTTGGGTTGCATTTTTTCTTTATTTCCAGAGTAAAGTATGGAGAATTAGATATCTCTCTCTCCTCAATTATACCCCCCACCCCCCGCCTTCTTTTTTTGAGACAGAAATTCACTATATATTCCAATTTGGTGTGGAACTCATGATCCTCCTGCCTCAGTCTCCAGAATGAGTACTGGGGTTATAGGTGTGTACCACCACACCCAGCTTATATTTTTGCTTTGCACTAAAACTTTTATATGAAACTAGCTTTAAATTTTTAAGTGGCTGAATTGGTGTTCATATGAAGAATAGAAAAAGAAGCGAGACCGTCTCAGCCTCTAGTAATTTCTTTGTGTGTAGCATCTACTTTTTTCTGTTCTTACAGTAATCCTTTCCATGCAGATCTTTTAAAGAAATTTACACTTCTAAAGCAAATACAATTTTACTTCCTTGTGATATAAGATACATAACTGTATTTGGAGTGCCATTTTTACTTTCAGTATTTTAAAGTAGAATATTATGCTTCTTAGTCTGTAATGTGAGCTAGAATTAAAAATAAAAACAATTTTTTTATTATCCACATTGAAAAGAGTAAAAACAAATTATATTTCTCATTTACCTGAATATATTTAAAATATCTCAACATGCAGTCAGTATAAGAAATCATTGGGTTACTTTATATATTTATTTATTTGCATTTATAGTTTTGGTGGTGCTGGGGGAGGGACTTGCATTGAAACCCAGTTTGCATCTTTTGCTTATAATCTGACTCAGCAAAGAGTAGCTGCATTTCAAGTGCTAAGTAACCACATGAGGCTGATGGCTACCCTGTTGTATAGGTCCGTTCTATAGAGTCATTCTTAGTATCTGGATAGATGGACAGATAAAAGGAGATAGGCACTTTGTATGAACAGGGTTTGATGAGTGTAATAGCTGGTTACCCAAAACTAATAATGTGGTTATCTTTAAAGATACCACATGTAGCCTTTTTTTCACTCATTAGTTGGGGCATAATTGAAGGAAATAAGTTGAGAATACTGGGTAGATAGAATTTTTACTGTTTAGTTGCCCTTAATATCCAGATTTGTAACTGCATATTTTTACTGTATGTGCATGCTTATATGTTTCCATGAAAATTCATTATCTGTCTATAACCTTTAGCATAAATGCAGTGCCAACTACAACGAAGATTTTGTGCTGCAACTAGAGAAGGAATTGGTCCAGGCCAGACTGAGTGAAGCTGAATCTCAGTGTGCACTGAAGGAAATGCAAGACAAAGTCTTGGATATAGAGAAGGTAAGGAACTACATAAATGCTGCCGACTTCTAAATCTATGGGGAGAAATGCTAGATATTTACTTATTGAATCATTGAACTGGACTTGGTGTTTTTACATATGGTAAACTGTGTGTTACTAAATCAGCAAGTTAGGAAATGTCACTCAGTTAATATGCATAAGGTCCTGTGTTTAGTCTCCAGCACCACATAAATACCATAAAAGTATGGTAGCACACACCCCTAATCCCAGTACTCAGGATATGGAGACAAACAGAAGTTCAGGGTCATCCTTGGCTACACAGTGAGTTTGAGGCCATCCTGATATTGCAGCCATGAGACTATCTCACGGGAGGGAAGAAAATAAAAATATTTTTAAGATTGCTCCATATTTAAGAATATAAATGGAAATTAGAACCTTGCTAGAAGTAAACAACTAGATTAATTCTTACAAGGAAATAATTTAAATGCTGAAGAACAGAAAGTTAGATGACAGAAATTATTCTCAAATATTGTAATATCTTTATGTTGAGGAGAGAACAGGACTACAGACACTTGGGGGAAATGGTTCATCTCAGTGTGATTGTTAGGAGGATCTGTGTTAGAATCAGTTACATCAGGGTATAGAGGACATAACCCTTCACCTCAGCAGTCCTTACAGAAGCTCGTTTATTCCTCAAGGATTTTAATGGATACCAAGGCATGGGCTGGGGATATGGCTTAGTGGTAAAACAAATGCTAGCATGTGTGAAACCCTGAGTTCAGTCCCCGGGGGGGAGGGGGGAAGAACATCAATACATATTAGGTAAGTAGTAGATACAGAAAAACCTTCAGGTTTCTTAGAATACTCAGATTTGAGCATCTATGGTATAGATTCCAAACCCTGAATCTGTTTTCTCATCTGTGAAATCAGTCTATATAATATCTAGGTAGTCAATAAATAAGGTATATAGGTGGTGAATATAATAGCTGCCATTCTTACTAATTCTTAATGAAATAGAACGTGTGTAAATAGACTCAGTAGTGGAGACACTCAAGATGGCAAACACCTGTAATCCTAGTGTGTGGGGGAAGTAGAGGCAGGAGGATCCAGAGTTTGAGGCTAGCCTGGGCTACATATAGATACCATGTTTGAAAAAAAAAAGCATCAGTAAAGAATAATTTTGTGGGGGCTGGAGAGATGGTTCAGGAGTTAAGAGCACTTGCTGCTTTTCCAGAGGACCTCAGTTCATTTTCCAACACTCATGTTAGGTAGCTCCACAACTGCCTGTAATTCCGCCACCCTCTTCTCTGGCCTCCACAGGCACTGGTACATATGTGGTGTTCACAAACATAGACACAGACAACACACACACAAGAATAATAACATATCTTTAAAAAATACTTTTAATTTATATGTATGAGTGTATTGCTTGCATTGTGTAAGTATACTCATGTCATGCAATGCCCAAGGAGGTCAGAAGAGGGTGTCAAATCCCCTGGAACTGGAGTTACAAATGGTTGTTAGCTGCTATGTGGGTGCTGGGAATTGAACCTGGAAAATTATTCTTTAAGATTTATTATTGTTCTTTGGCTAAAGAGATGGTTCAATGGTTAAGAGCACTCTCTGCTCTTGCAGAGGACCTGGGTTCAATTCCCAACACCCACATGGCAGAGCACAATGACTCACTTTTGCTACAAAGAGTCTCTGAAAACAGTTAACAAGCTTCAGGGACAGAGTCTGTGCATCAAGACTCAATCTGCAGCTGCCATTTTCCAGGTGGAACCATGCCAAAGGAAAGACGATCTGGCCACCTGGGGAGATGGCTCACTCAGATGATCTCTCTCCCCATCATAGCGTTCTGAGAGCAGAAGAAAGTGGTTCACTGTCTCCTGAGAGTTGGCCTTTCTCCAAATAAGACTTGGCATAGAGACAGACTGCCAGGCCTTGTTTCTGGTCCAGATGTGATCTCTAAGCAGGAGAGAAAGAAGTAGGGGAAATGCCTGGGAGGGTGCATCCCCCACCAACTTGGACTTTAAAGCAGTGAATCTTGCCATGAGATGATTTTCTAAATTTTTGTTCATTCATTTCTTTATTTCAAAAAAGTGCTCAGGGGGCTAGAGAGACAGCCTAGCAGTTAAGAGCACTTGTTCTTGCAGAGGACTTGGGTTTGGTTTCCAGCATTCATTATGGTGGCTAACAAATGTCTACTGATGTTACTACTCCAGTTCCAGGGGGATCCGACACCCTCTAATGGCCTCCATAGGCATTGCACAAGTACAGTACACTTGTGTGCATACAGCCAAACACTCATACACATAAAATAAAAATAGATAAAATATATTCTTTTAAAGTGCTCATCATATCCAGCAATAAAGTCTATGAACCACAGCAATGACCAGCTCAGCAAACTATCTCTATTGGTGCAGTAGTGACACTTTTCTTTTTGGTCTTTTTGAGACAGCGCCTCACTGTAGCCCCAGCTGTCCTGGAACTCACTATGTAGACCAGGCTGGCCTTGAACTCACAGAGATCTGCCTGCCTCTGCCTCCCGAGTGCTGGGATTAAAGGCGTGCGCCACCACACCCGGCATGAGAAAACCTTTTACTATTCCATAATTTTTGTGGGCTAAAGTCTTTGTGACCACCATGAGCTATTTTAGAGAGAAAATTTTAGAGCTAGTCCTTGATTTCTCAACAGTATGTTAGCTTACCCAGGGAACTTTTTCCAGGACCTGATTTTACCTCTTGGGAACTCTCCAGAGCAATTTGATAATTGAGCTGCCCCAGTGAGTCTTTCAGTGTGGCAAGAGAGTGACCTGAATTTTTTATGTATGAAACAAATGTTTCTATTACTTTAGTTAATTTCTTACTGCTGATACAAATAGTGACCAATACACAGAGATTTGACACTGCCCTTTATGTTGTGAAAAAAAAAAAACAAAGACTTTTGTAGTTTTTTTCTTTTTAAATTTTTAAAATGTAACTTACATTCCTGCTTTATTTGGAGTACTAATCAGAGGTTACAAGCCTATTACCTTGTTGAAAAGCATTTTTAATCCTATTGTTTTATTATTGTATTTGAATAACAAAGCAAAGTTAGACTTTCTGTGCCCTCCAGATTAAACAGGACTGCTCTCCTAAGCTGTTGGTAGGGATGCTCTGAAAGCACTTGGCAGTTTAAGTTATTAAGCCAGCAATTCTACTCTTAAATATGTAGTTATGAGGAGTAAGTAGGTCCACACAAAGATTTTTGCATAAATGTTCATAGCAGCACTGCTATTACCATTTACTAAATAGACAAGTAAAATGTCTATCAATACAATAGAATAGTATTTGGCAATGAAAAGGATCAAACCTTGAAAATACTTCTAAGTGAAATAGCTAGTCATAAAAAGCCACATGTATGATACGACAACTCCATAGACACAGGAAGTAGATTGCGGATTGACATAGACTTGGGAATAGGGAATAAAGAATGACTACTGGTGGACAAGAGGCTTGAAATTAGATTAAACAACCCTGTGAATATACTAAAAACCACTGATAATCATATATTTTAAAGAGGTGAGTTTTAAAGTCTGTGAACTATTTCAATAAAGTCGCATAAATGAAGTACACAGAGCTAAATAGTGAGACCAAGTCCAAAAAAAAAAAGTACAAATATGTATGATGAAAAATAGCTCTGTTTGTGTCATATATTTTATTTCTTAAATTTGAAAATCTCAGGCCAGGGAGGTGGCTCAGTAGGTAGTGGTACCTGAGTTTGATCCCCAGGACCCACATCGTAGAAGGAGAGAACTGACTCCTTCCGCAAGTTGTCCTCTGTGCGCGCGCGCGTGTGCGCACACACACACACACACACACACACAAATTAATGTTTTTAAATGTGGTACATTTTAAATTTTTCTTTGACTTCAGAAGAACAACTCCTTTCCTGATGAGAATAACATTGCAAGGCTTCAGGAGGAGCTCATTGCTGTGAAGCTGAGAGAAGCAGAGGCCATTGTGGGCTTGAAAGAACTCAGACAGCAAGTCAAGGACTTGGAAGAACATTGGCAGGTATACAGATGAACTTTATCTGCGTTTTAGAAAGAGGAAAACCAAATTGCTCAATGCATGTGAATATGAAGTAGCCGATGACCGGTAGGAGGAGGTGAAAAAAAAATCTTGCTTAATGTCAAAATTGGGAGCATTTATAACTTGAAAGTGTAGTCAAGTGCTTTATATGATTCTTAAAGTGAAACAAAAGACAAAATAGAAGCCAGATCATATTTTTATTGCTGTTGCACTGTTGCGTATTATTTATTTTTTCCTAAGAACTGTAAGGAAATACTCCTTTTATATAGAACAACTTTTCTTTTTATTAAATATAATATTTTTATTAACTGAGAATTTTGGTTTTTGGTCTTTCAGAGACAAGGTCTCCCTGTAGCCTCACCTGGCCTGGAACTTTATGTAGACCAGGCTGGCCCTGATCTCACAGAGATCTGCCTATTTCTGCCTCCAAGTGCTGGGATTAAAGGCATGCACCACCACATCTCAGTCTTTTTTTATTTATTTTTTTGGTCTTTTTTGAGACAGGGTCTTCCTGTAACACCAACTGGCCTGGAACTCACTGTGTAGACCAAGCTGGCTTCGATCTCATAGAGATCTGCCTGTCTCTGCCTCTGCAGTGCTAGAATTAAAGGCATGGGCCATCATGCCTGGCTATGTATACAATAGTTTTTGATCACATACATCTCCTACTCCTTCCTCAAACTCTTTCCAGATCTACCCCCAACCTCCCCTTCCAATTTCATGTCCTCTTTTCTTTTCTTTTTAAATCCATCCAAGTCCAATTTGCATTGTCCATACTCCTGTGTGTGGAGCCATCCACTGGAGCGTGGTGAAAGGGGTGACACCCTTAAAGAAACTGGACTCTGCTCACCCAGCAGTCATCAACTCTCAATAGCTCCTCAGCTAGGAGTGGAAGAGCCCCTTCCCACTTTATGCTGGGATGTTTGCTGGCTTGATTTGTGCAGATTTTATGCAGACAGCCATAATTGCTGTGAATTTATGAGTACAGCGTTGCTTTAATGTCCAGAACACACTGTTTCACTCTGGTCTTTCCCATCTTTGGGTCTTATAACCTTTCCAACCCCTCTTCGGCAGTGATCCCTGAACCTTGTGGGGAAAAGGTGTGATATAGATGTCCCATTTATGGCTGAGCACTCCACACACACTTAGTCTCTGCATTTTAATCAGTTGTGAGTTTCTGTATTAAACTGTGGTCCAGCACACAAAGAAACTTCTCTGATAAGGTCTGAGAGCTGCAATTCTCTATGGGTATGATGATAGGACTTTAGAGGCCATCTTGATACTGTGTCCATTTGTCAAACAAAATTTTTCTTCTATTGATATTAAATATGTTGCTGGAAAGTGTGGAACATCAGATGGTCATACACACATACACATATATGTATTTATAAATTATGAACTGCTTTTGAAAATGTTTATCTCACAAAATAAATGACACTTAGGTATATTCCTAAAAATTTATCCATATCTGAGGGAAACTTGATAAAAAACAAAACGTAACCATCCATAAGCAAATGAGAAAGCATTTTAAACCACGTAGTTTGAGAATGATGACCTTGGTTTGAATTGGGGATGAGAAGTGACATCTAGTAAAGACTGGAATTAGTCTTTGGTGAAGCCTGTGAAATGGCCGCCAAGCCTGGTATCCAAGGCTGACAACCTGAGTTCAGTCCCCTGGACCCACATAGTAGAAGGAGAAAATCAACTCCCACAGGTTGTCTTCTGACCTTCTTGTGTATATTGTGGTGTGCACCCCCCATAAAATAATGTAATAACTTTTGGGGGGGGTCTTTTTGAGACAGGGTCTTCCTGTAGCCCCAGCTGGCCTGGAACTTGCTATGTAGACCAGGCTGGCCTTGAACTCACAGAGATCTGCCTGCCTCTGCCTCCTGAGTGCTGGGACTAAAGGCATGCGCCACCACACCCGGCTTGTAATAACATTTTTTTTAAAGTCTTTGATATTGACATGACTTTTGAAAAAATGCCCAGATGCAATAAAATGTAAATTAAGCCAGGCCTGGTGATTTCTACCTGGAATCCCAGCATTTAGGATGCCGGGGCAGGAGGATCACAAGCCCAAGGCCAACTTAGGCAAGAGCTTCTCTCAAACAAACAAAAATTGTGGGCAGTACTTAAACACATGGTTTGTAAAGTTAGCCCTTATTTTGATAGAGTATTTATTGCAATATGTTTTGTGCTTTAGCGTCACTTAGCTCATACTTCTGGGAGATGGAAAGACCCACCTAAGAAAAATGCTTTGAATGAATTACAAGATGAGCTGATGACCATTCGACTTAGAGAAGCTGAAACTCAGGCAGAAATACGAGAAATGAAGCAAAGGATGATGGAAATGGAAACACAGGTATGATGGGAAAGCCTGATTGATAGAAAGTATCACTAGCTCAAAATTGCATACACAGTTCAGTTATTTTCTCATATTTTTGATGTAACTAAAGACAACAGTGAAGAGATATGGAAAAATTATGAAGAATAAAAATCCGGGCTTCATAATGGGAAATTTTATTATCTTAGTGTAGATAATAAAAATGTGAGCACAACTTTTGTGCCAGTTCAGTGCTGTGGATTTATCTCACAGTAAGTAGAGGTAAATGAGTCAATTTCAACTTCATATCATCCTTAGAATAAAGTTGAAAGGTAAAATCTAGACAAACTGTGACTTTCTAGTACTAATGCCAGAGCTAAAATGCTGATCATGGAACTCCTGGAACTCGCCACTTTTTCAGCTACACTGTCTGGCGAGAGAACCCCAATGATCTCCCTGTCTCTAAGTGGTCTCCCCCCACCACCCTCAGCTCTGGGGTTACAGATGCTTACCCACCTTTTACATGAGTGCTGGTGATCCACACTCATGTCTTCATGCTTGCACAAGAAGCTCTCTTACCCATTGAGGCATCTCTCCTGTTTTCTTTGTGTTTCTGTGGAGTGTTTTATTTATTTATTTTTATTTATTATTTTTATTTCACATGTATATTGCCTGTATACATATATAAGTGCACTCATGTCATACAATGCCCAAGGAGGTCAGAAGAGGGTGTTGAATTCCCTTGGAACTGGAGTTATGGATAGTTGTTAGCTGCCATGTGGTTGTTGGGAATCAAACCTGGGTCCTCTGCAATAGCAGCCCGTGCTCTTAACTGCTGAGCCATCTCTCCAGCCCCAAGAATGTTTTATTTTATGGTATTTATTTATTTATTTATTTATTTATTTATTTATTGTCTTTTTGAGATAGGGTCTCCCTGTAGCCCCAGCTGTCCTGGAACTCACTATGTAGACCAGACTGGCCTCAAACTCACAAAGATCCACCTGCCTCTGCCTTCCAAGTGCTGGGATTAAAGGCATGCACCACCACTCCCGGCCCTTAAAAGTGTTTTATTTTTAATTAATTAATTTTAAAATTTTGTTTGTTATTTTTATTTTATGGGTATGAGTGTATTGCCTACATGTGTGTAAGTACATCCTTGTCAAATGATGCCCTGATGTCAGATCCCCTGGAACTGGAGTTATGGAAGGTTATTAGCTGCCATGTAGGTGCTGGGAATTGAATCCAAGTCCTCTGCAAGAGCAGTCAGTGCTTTTAACTGTTTAGTCATCTCTTCAGGCCTAAATAATTTTTAAAGGTTTAAAAAAATTATTTTAAAGGTTGTATGTGGTGGGGGTGGTAGGTGGAAACCAGAGGTGTCAGATTTCTAGAGCTGGAGTTACAGGTGGTTATGAGCCACTAGATATGGGTGCTGGAAATTGAACCCGGGTCCTCTGCAAAAACAGTATGCCCTCTTTACCACTGAGCCATTTCTATAACCCCATTGTGAGTTTTTTGTTGTTGTTGTTTGTTTTTGGTTTTTGAGGATCTTGCTATAGCCTTGACGGGCTTGTTGCTATAGCCTTGATGGGCTTGTTACTTTGTAGCCTAGACTCATGGCAGTCCTGCCCCAACCCTTCAAGTGCTAGGATTATAGGCATAAAATTTGTTTTTTATTTCAGAGATTTAACCTCTGCTTTGACCCATTCAATAAACTTAAGCAAGTCAGAATTCCTTTGAGTTTATTAGTAAAACTCATAGGGTTGGGGCTGGAGAGATGGCTTAGTGGTTAAGAACACTGACTGTTCTTGCAGAAGATGGGGGTTCGAATCCCAGCACCCACATGGCAGCTAACAACTGTCTGTAACTCCAGTTCCAAGGGATCCGACAGTCTCTTCTGTCCTCCGTGGGCATTACACCACACAGGTTCACTTACTGAAATGCAGGCAATACACGCATACACAGAAAATAAAAATAATAAATAAAAAAAATTTTTAAAAACTCATAGGGTTGCCTCATTATGTAAATTAAGAAGGAACATTCATGTAAAACAAAATTTCTCAGGCTGGAGAGATGGCTCAGTGGTTAAGAGTACTGACTGCGTTTGCAGAGCACCTGGGTTCAATTCCCAGCTCCCACATCTGTACCTCCAGTTCTAGGGGATCCAACGCCTTCCTCTGACCTCCATAGGTCTTGTACAACACAGGTGCATTTACACACATGCAAGCAATACACTCATATACCTAAAAAAATAAAAATAAATTAAGAAGGAATGGACATTCATTTAGAGCAAAATTTCTCAACCTGAACGCTTAACATTTGGGGCTAGAAATCCTTTGTTTTATGTGGCTAGCCTATGCATTATACAATGCTTAGCAGCATTCCTGGTCTCAGCCCACAGATGTTTATGTCTGTGATGACCAAAACTTTCTCCACACAAATGTAGAATCACAAATGTAGAATATAATGTTCATTTTGTCTTTTCAAGCTATGTAATGTGATCCTGAGTAATTAAGGCTAAATTTTTTCTTCTCAAATCCCTTCTATCTTAAATATATTTTACTTAAAACCTGCAAAAACCCTTTCATTTTGTTTTGTTTCCAAAATGAGTTTGCATTGTAAAGGCAAATGTGGCTTTTATGTGTTACTTTTAAATAATCTATATTCCACATACAGTTGTCCTGTGGTATTTGTGGGGTGAGGTTGCAGGATCTCTGTAGATTCCAAACTCTTTAGATGCCCAAGCCCCTTATATAAAATGGTAATGTTATTTGCATATAACCTACCTGCATCCTCTGATAAACTTTAAACCATCCCTAGATAGAATGCCTAATATAGCACAAATGTTATAGAAATAGTTGTTATGCTGTATTATTTAGAGATAGTCACAAGAAAAGAGCTTACACATGTCCAGTACAGATGGAATTGAAACCCAAATATTTTCAATCCTTGGTTGTTTGAATCTGTGAAGGTAGGACCAGCAGATACAGAGGGCCAACTGTACTCTGGAATGGTATTTGGTTTTCAGATTATTTATATAGTCAGTAGGGGGCATAGTTAACTCATGTTTCTCTGTATTTTTGTAAGCACATGGTCATCCCATCTCATGCAGCATAACATGGCTATGTAATGTCTTCATCTCATTTCATGTCATTATTTTCTCAATCACTTTATTGTAGTAAAAACCATACTGAAGAGACTAAAATTATGAAGAGTAAAAACCTAGTTTTTATAGTAGGAAATTTTATGATCGGAATTTATCTTAATGTAGATAATGAAAATATAAGCACAACTTTTTTTTTTTTTTTATCTCCACAACCATGTGGAGATAAATGAACCAAATTCAACAGATGTGGTTTGGAGAACTTGTGAAACCCAAAGCACTATCCCAGCCAATAAAGGACTTAAAGTTCAGAAATTAGCTATGAACAGACTATATTAAATATGATTCCAAAATATGAATCAAAGTACAAAGTAATTAGGAGTTGCTATGGAAAACAGGAAGGAACAGTTAATTTCACCTAGGAAATTTACTGAAAGACTTCAAAGGAATTTGTGTTTAAGCTGTGCCAAACTAGTAATTGTGACTTGGGCTATATTTTGCTGTAAGTCACTCGTTCGTAAATGCCAGCATTTGAACTGGTAATGATTGTGAAGTTTTCATAGAGAAAAATTAAAAGCAAAGCTGTGGTGTAATGGTAATGATATAGCTATGTACATACAGTATTATATCAAACACCATGTAGCTATTATCTGGAATTTTGCCCATGTTGCTATGTAGAATTCCACTTTCTTTAAAAAAACTTTCAGAGCCAGGTGCCTTTCAGAACGCATGCTCTTAATCCCAGCACTCTGGAGGCAGAGGCAGGTGGATTGCTGTGAGATCGAGGCCAGCTTGGGCTATATAGAGAGTTCCAGGCCAGGGTAGGCTAGAGGGAGACCCTGTCTCAAAAAAGACAAAAACAATAAAAAAAATCAGAAGTGTGTCTAGTAGTACACTTCAATTTACTGAGCCATTCTTTTTGCTACATACACAGTTTTTTTTTCTGTTGCAAATAGTGTTAATATGAACATTCTTGCATGTCCTCTTGTATAACGTCTCCAAGAGTTTACTGAGTGTGGTGTTCCTATATTTCTGTGCTGTGAACACTGTTGCCCTCTGGACTCTTTGGAACTCTTCCCTTCTCAAAATAATTTTTTAATTATTATTTTATATGTCTGAGTGTTTTGCCTGCATGTGTCTAAGTGCACCATGAGTACAGTTCCCACGGAGGCCAGAAGATGGTTTTCAGCTGCCACATGGGTACTAGGAACTGAATTCAGGTCCTCTGTGAGAGCAACCAGTACTCTTAAATACGGAACCATCTCTCCAGCTCCTCAAAATAATATTTTTATATGCATACAGCAAAATAAGACTGCAAAAACAAACCAGTTATATTGAATTAAAATTAATTATAAAAATACTGAAAACATGATACAGAACACATACACAGAAATGTGCAAAGCATATTCCTGCTGCTGAGCTTGAGTAAAGGTATAGCTTTGAGGTGCTTCTGTTCATAAGTCGATTATAATCTTCCCATCTTTTTACATTTTTCAACTTATTTGTGTGCTTATATCTCTGATAAACATATTAGGACTTTTCAGAATTGAATCTGACATTTTTTAATGCTGAATATGCTAAAAATTATTATAAAGCAGGTGAGTTTTATGTGTGAGCTCTGTCTCGGTGGAACTGTAAGACTCCAATCTCACACTTTCTTGTAGCCATCATCTTAGTCCGTGTTGGTAATTCTACTTGAATTAATACCTGTCTTTTCAATCTGTTCTTTTGTTCCTTCCATTTCTACATTCTCGAGCGTATTGAGCATTTATTATACTTTCATTTAATCTTCACAGTTAATTTCTTTAGTTTCCCTTCAAGCAATTTCCTAGTGGTGGCTCTGTGTTTTACAAGATGCATCTTTAACTAGAACTTGCCTTCAAACAATAAACTATGAATTATTAGCAACAAATTGTCTTGTGTAGTCCTAAGCCCCCCT